AAAAAAAAAAAAAAAAAAAAAAGTCTCACTATGTAGATCGGATTCGTAGTGGTCTGCCTGTGTTCAGCAAGAGATGGGATTATAGGTGCGTGCACCATGCCCAGGCTCAATCGCCATCTCAGCGCGCCCCGGGGGCAGGACTGGCATGACACACCAGGGATTGAACTCTGGCCACTGTGTCTGCCTAAGCAGGCAGTTTTTGGTGTTTTTTGAGACAGGGTCTGTCTCACTATGCAGTTCAGACTGGCCTTGGGCTCACTTTGTAGCACAGGTTGGTCTTGAACTCACAAAGATCCTCCTGCCTCAGGCTCCCAAGTGCTGGGATTACAGACATGCACCACCAGACCAGGCTAGAGCACTGATCTTGAGTCAGAATCTACCTCAGCAGCTGGGGCAAAATATGCTGTGATACCATGTTGTTCCATGATGCCAGCCCGAGATGTGACCTCAGATACACTCATTTGTGGTTCAGGGGTTACATGAATGGAACAGCATGAACTGGGGACACAGCAGGAACCCAGTGGAAAGCAGGAGGGGAATGGTTCTAGGGCAGGGCAGTTTGAGCCTGGCGCATCTGCTCCCTGACACATCTCAGAAGGCAGAACGCAGAGGGAGAGGGCGGTGGCGGCTGCGGTGCTCCGCTCGCCAGAGCAGCTCACTTGACCGTCTTGTTTCTTCTGTGACCTGCAGGTAAATGAGGAAGGCAGTGAAGCAGCAGCGACTACTGGCATAATGTTCTCTGGACGTTCTTTGAACCCCAACAAGGTGACCTTCAAGGCCAACAGGCCCTTCCTGGTTCTTATAAGGGAAGTTGCTCTCAACACTATCATCTTTATGGGGAGAGTAGCCAACCCTTGTGTCAACTAAAATATTCTCACTCTTTGAGCCTCTTCCTAGTTTGGTTTGTGAACAGAAATAAAGATAAATACAAGTGCGCCCATCTCACAATTATGAATGGACACAACCAGGTGAAATAAAGACCAGGGATGGAAAAGCAGGTGCTATCGGGCATTTATTTAATGTATTTAGTACAGGGTCTACAGGGTCTCACTACATGGACTGACTGGTGATGATCCTCCTGCTCTCAGCGCTGGGATTATAGGCACGTTCCACCACACTGGGATGAAACCTGGTCCCTGCATCTGCCCAAGCAGGCACTTTAATCTGCTGATCTATCTGCCTGGCCCTGGGCATTTATTCAAATGATACTCTCAATTGTTCTCCACCCACTGGACACACCTGGGTCAAGAAAATGAAGAGGGAGTTTGTTATGTCACTATTTGCCCAAAAGGGAAGCTTGATTTCTCAGTATTCCCATGTTAAAAAAATTTCAAAAAATGTAAACAAATAATTTCTTCAAGCACAGATAAGACAGATTCAAATTTGAGTATTAAACCATTTAATTCTCAAACCACTCACATGCATAATGTTCTTTTACACAGTGTTAAAATAAAGAGGAAAATGCATTTTTTATACAAACAGAATTTCAAGTATACATTAATAGACTTTTCAGATTACTAACCAAGTTGCTAAGATCTCATTCACATTGTTTTTAAAGCTGTTCAATGAGAAAGCTTTTGCTAAACTGCTTTAAATATGTTTATATAAACCCAAATCTTAACTCTCTTTGAATCTCCCTCCCCCAACCCTAGTCTTGGCCCACCCTCCCCCCACCCAGACCCAACAGGGCTCCTGGGGCTCTAGGATTCATGCTACCCCTCCAAGGACTATTGGTTTGTCTTCGGGGGAAGGACAGAACCTGCAGGAGAAGAGTCTGAGAATAAAGGACACCAGACCTGATACTTAGGAGACAATGCAATTCTGGATCATTGGTGTTTTCTGTTTTTGTTTTTTGTCTTTTTGAGACAGGGTCTCACTATGCAGTTCAAGCTCGCCTTGAGCTCACTTTATAGCCAAGGCTGGTCTCGAACTTGAAACAATCCTCCTCCCTCAGCCTCCTGAGTGCTGGGAGTACAGGTGTGCACCACCACCCCTGGCTTCACTTTCAATCAAACACATCTCAGCCTCCCACTGAAAACAGAGATTTATGATAATTTATTAGCTGAGGAAATAAGTTATCAGCTAATTTTATTTTTTGGTACCTGGAGTCAGACTCAGGGCCCTGTGTGTGCCAGGCGGGCACTGTGTTCCTGAGCTACATCCTGGGCCATCATTAATTTTAGCCTAGAGTGGTGGTGTACCCTGAAATCCCAGCACTTGGGGGCTGAGGCAGGAGGATCACAGAGAATAAGGCCAGCCTGGGCTACATAGTGAATTCAAGGCCAGAATGGAATACATAGGGAGACCTATCAACCCACAAAAAAAAAAAAAAAAAAAAAAAAAAAAAAAAGGTAATTTTAAATTAAAAAAAAATAAATAAATAAACCAGCAAAACTTCCAATATCTACGTAGGCCATTGCAATCTTTTTCATTTGGCTGTTTCTTTTTCCCTTTGGCGGGGGGGGGGGCATTTAAAAATGAGTGTTATCTGTGTGTTCACATCAGGAAATTTGGTTAATGTTACAGGTCTGCCAAGCGTTCCCCCTCTTCAACTTTCCTCCTGAAGTGTTCTGGCCTCAGGACCAGGAACGGTTAGCCATCCTCCTTAGGAATTAAAGTGCATTATTTTCAGTAAGGGGGAGGAGAGAGGTGGTGGTTTACATTAAGTGATAATGATTAAAGAAGGGTGGGGTAAAAGAAAGTTCTATTTCATATATATTGGGTTCTAAGGTCAATAAAACAGATGTCTCAAGCCAGGCCAGCAGTGTGAAGCCAGTGGTATGAGAGTACACGCTGGCTCACTGACTTTTCTTCTTTACATTAATTGCTGCACACAAAATACACGAATTTCAAATGTTAGATTTTTTTTTTCTCCAAAGTGTAAAAACAGACTCTTTTAACTAGAGTTAAAAATAAGCTATCCCATTCCCTTTCAGGGATTATATTTTAGAAAGTGATTGTCTGTTTTAATGCGAATCCTCCTTGATCAGTGAGTCATGAGAAACTGCCGTAGGATACATTGTCTACCAGTACTACAGGAACCCTAGAAGCGCAGGCGGAGGGGGCGCAGGTGATTCTTGCTGTGATCAGTACTAACTGAGGGGGAGCAGAATCTTCCTAGGATCTCTTTCTTTGATAGCTAACAGCAGAGGCTTATTTTCTCTTTTCTTTGAAACAGTTTACTGTTTCTTAGGGAGGGGACCCCAAGTTTCTCAAAGAGAAGTAAATGCTACATTTTCAGCTATAAGAAGTAATGGGCTCTAATGAGAAGGGGGATTTGTCCTGGATTGTGGCCTCTGAGTCCAGTGTGATCTGCATTTCACAGTGACCAGGGGAAGGCACAGTGCCAGGGACAGAGTAGGTGGGAGACAGCTGCCACCCACCATGTAAGCACCATAGAGAACAGCTGGCAGATTGCTTTCAGACTACGTCCATCTGGAGGAAACTGCTCTTCTGCTACACTGACTTTTCTCCCTTTGCCTCCTCAGCCTTCTCTTCACCTCTTGGAGGCAGAGCATGAATGGGTCCCATCCTGAGATTATGAGAAACCAGGAAACCTGAATGCTCTTCCAATGTACTCCTTTTACTGATTTTAATATTTTTTGGGGGGGTACTGGGGATGGAACTCAGGACCCTGTGCATGCTAGGCAAGCACTCTATCACTGAGTTATATCCCCAGCCTGATTTTAAGATTTCTTAAAGGAAAAGGAAGCCATTGGTTCCTGCCTGAACTATCAAGTCCATTTAAGTTCTGCAATCAGAGCACAAAATAATGCACCAAGCTAAAAAGGTGAACACAGGTCACAGTAGATGAAAAGCTAGTGGACCTACACAGAACACATTCCTTTTGCCTGTAGTTGGGGAATGCTTTTTTGTTGAGGGCAGGGGATAGGGCAAGATAATGAACTTCAATCAGGTTAACATTGTCTAGCAGTTTCCGAAAGGAATCCAGCCAACCCATTAAGGTAAAGGAAGTTGACTGAACTTCGCAGTCCTAAATTCCTTTCAGGCATTTGTTTTATTCCTTGCTCAAGTACAGCACATACTCACACATCTACCTAGACTCACTTCCCTACCGTCCGCCTCTCCTCTATCCCATGCAATCTTAAAATCCAGTGCAGAATAATTACATAAGGTTCAAAGGGTTCACAGTACTCTACAACATTCCCTAGTATGAAAACCCCCAGGGGCTACTCTTTTTGGAGTTCCAAAGACTATTGCTTTTCTATTTGATCCATACACAAGAAGCCTTTAGCAGATCTTCTAAGGCATTGGAGGCACTGCCTCTGACATTGCAGCATTTATGCATTAAGCAACAGCAAGGCCTAATGCTATCCTTCCTTCTTGCACATACCACCACTTTAAACTTTAAATGATCAATTACTTATAGGCCATGTGCAAATGGAATTTTCTATGGGATTCAGAATACTCTTAGAAAAGAGATGGCTATACTTGAAGTTGCTTTTATATAAATTTCTTTCATGAATCACAAGTCACTTGGTAGCTAATTAGTCTGAACACTGGTTCGCACTTTTTTATGGGTAATAAAACAACTCCCCACTTCCTCCTATTGGACAAGAGATACTATAGGCAGGAGACAAATGACGGTGGCTATTACAACTTCTTTGCTGCCCTAGAGGAGAAGGAAGACACAGAACCTCATTTTAGAATCACTGCGTTAGGTCTTTTGTGATCCTAGGACAAAGATGCTTATATGACTCATTTCACATCTCATAATATCCAGAAATATTTCAGCTTTAGCAAGTGATTTCATTCACAAAGAAAAGTGAATCACTTAGAAATCTCACTTAGAAGACAGGCCAAGAGGCAGCAATCACGGCATCTGTCATCTCAGGCAGGAGCCTTCCTCTCCTGCATGAACCTTAACAACACCTGCTTCTTTACCTTGGCAGCGTGGCTCTTTTAATACATTCAAGTGCTCTATTTCAGCTAGCAAACTTGAGAACTCTCCGCTCAATTACACATGCAAAGGAAAGATTTGAGAGACCAAACTTTGAGAGTCTGTTCTGCTTACTTATGCTCATTTTGTGTTTGGTACAGAGAGGAATTTGAGTAGATCATAATGTCTTCCTCCACAATTGCTCTGAGCAGTGGATGATTCATTTTACCACCTGAATCCAGGCCCACTATTAAGTACACTGAGAGCCATGCTTGGAAAGTCAGTAAGGGTGTCACAGGTGAAGAGAACTAGCTGCCAAAGACAGCGCTCCCGAGGCAGTGATCCCACCTGGCTGCACATCAGAAGTCCTGCTGCTGGGGACTGGACCCAGCGCCTTGTGCATGCCCAGTGCCTCCTTTATACCTCTTAGCCCACTGGAGCTTTTGAAACTCCCAGTAGAACAACAGACTAGTGAAATATGAATGTCTAGGGGTGGCCCAGGCAATTCTAATGTGCAGCCGAAGTGGAGAACTACTGCCCCAGGCCAATGTTCTGTAATATAAAGCTCAACGCTAGTGTCGAACCAAGCCAGAGGTTGCCTCCACAGCTCCCTTCCAGATGCATGGGTTCAACAGGCCTTGATGCAATCAGCTAGGCATTTCTCACTGTTTGCCTTTTAAATAAATCACTGACCAGAACAGACAGCAACACCTATAGTACTGATTTAGGTAAGGCTGCAACTTAAGTATGTGTTCTAGTGAAACATCAGGGGCAGGCCTAGGACAAGACTCTGGGCACATACGACAAGCCAGAGAGAAACATTTCCTAAGCTGAAATTAATTCCTGAGGCTAGTGCATTAGCATGGCTTATTGGCTGACAACTACAGCTAAAAGAAAAAAGTTGCAGTGAACAGATTAGTATGGTTTAGAACCTCAGCTACTTATAGGCTTTACTCTGTATTATCCAGTCAGCTGTCATGCATGAATAATGTTTGTCTCAATATTTGGAATGTTACCATTCTCTGTGTTCTCCACTTGCCCTACCCAAAGTCACCAAGAACGGAAATACTCATCAATTAGTACCTTTACACAGGTAGCAACCCCCAATGGATCCTTCTCTTGCTGTCACTGGTCCCCAAAGATCCCTGTTTAGGTCTTCAAACAGACTGAGAACAAAAAGGTGGTGGGTGAGCTTCCAGGATAAGTGTTAAAGGAGACCATTTCCTTCTCTACTGTAACAAATGTTCAAAAGGTAGGGAAGTGGACTTGGCCCAGAAGAGGAAATCCACTGAACGCAGAGCTGCATTTTAAGGTCAGGCCTGCCTAAAGACATTTTACTACTGAAATCGAATCTTACACCTGCAACATTCAAGTATCAGCATTAAAGAAGAGTATCCCTCTTTGGAGTGATCAAAAGCAAAACAAATCCTCTGAAAATCCAGGTCACCACACTTCCATGTAAGACATTAGCAGGAGGCTCTATCAGGAAAATATGGTTAATATTTCAGACCCTGAACAGTGAATTACAAATTATGATTAAGAAAGAAAATTGTAACTCAAATAAATGTTTCACCTAATTAAGAGTGGGTGCATCTTTTAAAACAAAGACTCTATTTGACTCTTGTCAAATAGAAGCCAGTAGACAAAAGCACTAAGCATTGTGTTCTGACACTGATTTTAGGCAATAAAATCAACATGAGTATCTGCACCTGACAAGGATTTCGCTACTGCACCCTCCGCAGTAGGTATGGTTTCCCTGGCCTGCTACAGAAAGCTACACTCATTCTTCAGCCAAGGGCTCAGAGGTAGAGGAGCTGAAGTGAGTACTGGATAGAAGTGGGGACAGAAGTGGCTGAGGAGCTTGGCCTCCTGCCCAGGGCTGCAGACCAGCCTTCATGTGCTCCATCTTTCCTGGGAGGTAGAATATTCTACTGACTTTATCTGCCTTTATTCAACACCTTGTTTTCTTCACATACACTCAGAAACTCACACATAGCCAACAACTCACAGCAATATTGTAATTCACAGCAAGAGTATGCCTATAGCAACAGCTACTTCAGCTGAAATGTTACATTAATCCTCACTCTTCTCAGGTAGATGCAAGCCAAGTTTCTTTTTCTGAGGTCCCTCTTTTTGCCAGGGTTTTAAACATATATTTCACTTTAACACCTATATCTTGTGTCTCTAAAGAACAGCTTCACTAAATGAATACAATGTTATAACATCTTTATACATAGAAAGTGCAAGAATTTTCTTAGCCAAAATACAGACTTAACAAGATGCTCTGATAGCCTACTATGCCTAGAATTTGATTTTTAGAATCAATAATACAGCTAACAAAATGCTTCCATGCTACCAAGGACATAGTGAATGAGTAAATATATTTATAAACATACATTTATGAAAAAAGATATTATGAAAATATCTAGACTTCCCACAAAAATTACTTGTGTGAACTATCATTAGTATACGATTTTGTGTTCAATGCACATGCATATACAGTTCAATTATATTAGTGTCATTTTTATGGGCCAGTCTTCCAAAAAAAGAAAACAGGCTGTTTTTCTTTAAAAAAAAAAAAAATTAAGGTATACGATTTATAATTATTTCTGTAAAAATATTAGAAATACCATATAAATTCTAAATCTCTCTGCTATCTGATAGCCATTCCAGAGGTGGCTTTTAGCCACACTTTGAGTGACCTCTGTCTTAGCATCTTGGTTTCCAGTGGAAACATATTTTAAATTTTGTTCCCTGCATAGCATTTCAGTTTTTGAGTGATTCTTAACCACTACAGTTGGGATTTCTTTATGGGAAACTCAGTAGCTCACCTTAAAATACGTCACTGATGCTTACTTCAAGATGTGCCTAAAGGCAGAAATCTACTCACTTAGGCTGTTGAGACTGGCTTGAAATGGTTTAGACTTGTGATGCTGAAAAGAAACAAAATATTTTGTCAATCTACAAGGTTTTCTTTTTCCTGACCTTGTTCTCTCTTGCAGTTGGAGACCACAGAGCTTGTTTTCTATGCAACCACCGAATGATTTCAAACTTAGGATCATGGAGAATCTAAAAGGGCCCAAAGTAGAAAATGTGAGACATTTTCATATATTATCACAAGATTTTCATTCCCTGGGACTGTATGTTCAAGTTTTCTCTTGCACAAAAGGCAGACTTTGAAGGTGGATTAATTTTCCCAGAGTGAAAATGAGGCTCAAAAGAAAAATTTAAAGTACTATTTTATTCATTAAAAATTTGTCCCAATCATTAGGTATTAAAATCTAACTGGGCCACTGTACTCTCTCTGCTCAGTGGCCCATCTTCACACTGTAGGGTGTACTTTTTCTCCCTTTACTTGGCCCATACTTGTTCTTCAGATCTTGTTTCTTTTGCCACCTTTAGTAAAACTTGCCCCCCAATCTTGCTGATCATTATACACAGAAACCTCAAACATCCCACCTCTGGTTATCCAACTGCAAATGCCAAAGGTGTCCCTTCCCCCTTCTCAGTGTTCTGTAGAGTTGCATCAAGTCTCTGGCCTTGAGTATTCCTTTTATTTCCTGCATTTGCAAATCCTGAGGCCTGACTTAGGAACTGAGATCTGTTTACTACATGTGAATTGGAGATGATCACAGGAAGCCTTCAGAACTAACTGTCTTCGAGACCACAGCACATGGAAGGGCTAACCTCAACCCATTCTTTCATAGGTGGTCTGTTTGGGGGACGACTGTTCACAGTAGAATTCATTCTCTGCCCATATTTATTCTCAAAGCAGGAAGTCTTTTTTTCCTAATTATTAGATGATAAGAGTTTATATAAAGTGACTTAAATCAGACAAATTTAGATCAAAACAAAAAACTTAAATGCTTTGTTTTTGAACGAGGCTGGCAGCGATTGCTGAATTTAAAAGATTAGCAACATGTAAAATCGGGCAAGAGATTCTCCTCTATCAAAGGTAATAAGAACGGACAAGCCAATTTGTCCTAAAGCCCAGAATGATGCCAGACGAGGTATAGTGGACTAAGACAGGTAAAGCTTTTACTATCTCAACAATGTAACTTATCAACTCCTAAGAGTAATTCAGTCTACACCACAGTCACTTATTTGTAAACTTAAATATACATGATATCACTAATAAACCAAATTCTCTAACAGTAAGTTTTTACTCCCTATAGAGTATTTTGGACTCAGTACATATAGTTATTGTGATTTCACAGCAGATACAGGCAAATAATCACAACTTAGAATGGGGTCAAAATGAAAAAATGCAGTTTGCTACAAATGAGACTTGGGAGCAGTAAATGAGATCTTCTGCAGGCATCCATCTCATTTTCCTTCTAGATCTTTTACTGACCCAGAGCAAATATAATCAATGATTTCTTTCTTTTTCTTTTGGTGGAACCAGGGATTGAACTCAGGCCCTTGTGCTTACCAGGCAAGTTCTTATTCTACTGAGCTATCTCCCCAGCCCCCAATCAATGATTTCTATAGCAATATGAACTGACCACAGGAGAATCAGGAAAAAACCCCAAAACAACCTTAAAACTTACCTATGGGAAATTAAAGATGGTCCCAAATTTCTGACATGCTTTCATAAAATGGGCCATTATTTGCTCTTGCAGATCTGATTTGGGCAATAATGTGGTTGTTAACTGTATGAGAGTTTTAGGTCTGGTCTCTAAGAGGACTGGCACTTTCTGCCCAGCCTCCAAGAAGGCCTGAGCTGCATGTAAGAAGTCAGATGACCTTTACAGAAAGAACACACGGGAGTCCCAAGACTCAGAGTTGAGGAGTGCCCCCTGAGCCTGACCTTCAGCTCACTAGACCAAACTGTTATCTGTTTGACATTTCTGGGACCCACTGGACCAGTCCAACCACCTGCTGAATATGCCACCAGGCAAACTCTGCAGCTGCCACAGGGAGCAGAATTGCCCAGAGAGCCTCCTTTAATTCCTAATTCACAAACCCGTGATATACGAATTGGAGGTTGCTTGAAATCACCAAGCTTCAGAGTAGCTTGTTACACAGCAGTAAGTGGAAAATTATCTTCCAACGTCTGCCTTGGCAGTAACTCATCAGACCTACCAAGTGGGTGACTCCCCTCAATCAGTGGGCATTATCTCCAGCAAGTATTTACTATTTAAATCTGCTCACAGGTCATATGCATTATCTTTTGAAAAAAAATCTAATCACTTACTCTTGAATTACAAATTTAAGACTGTTACTGGCTCTTATATAATCCAGTTCACCCCAATTCTTTAGAATGCATGCATATGACGTAGTGAAGACAGTCTGAGCTTTGGAATCAAGACTGGCAAATAATGGTCCTAGAATTTACAACCTTGGGCTCATCAGTTTTTCACCTATAAAACATGGCCTAGCAACAGAGTCCATGGAGAAGTGTGAGGCACCCAGACCAAACTGTCTCTTCCTTTCTAAGACGAAGATAAAAACAGCATCTACTTTCATGGGACTGTCATAGGATTAGATGAGTTATCAATTAAAGCACATAGGGCCAGCAAGATAGCTCAGTAGTCTAAAGTACCTGCTTAGACAAGGTTAGGCAGGCACAGGGGACCACAGTTTGATCCCTGGCACCACATGCCACTTCAGCCCTGCCCTCAGGGCAGGCTGAGCCGGCTTGCCCCCTCAAAAAAAAAAATAAGCACATAAACATTAAAAAAAGTTGGCCAATTTTAGTACTGCTATTATTATCTCATAGGATTATTTTGAGTATTAACAGCAGTTATGTCAGTAAAACAATATAGCTAATTCTGTCCCATTTCTTTGTGTACTTTTTTCCCAGTAATAAAAGGTGCATACTTTTTCAAAGTATACATCCCAGACACTGGTCAAGTGGATTTAGAAATCTCAAATATGGAAAACTACACATAAACTATGTCTCAATCCAATTTTGCTACACAAATTCCAAGCATGTTATCTGGTACTAAATTTACCTAATGGAACAGATTTTACTTAATGGAATTTACTTAATGGAACAGATTCTCCTACATATTATCTATCACTGCAGACAAGTGATTTCACAGAATAGGAGATCTGCTTTCAAGAGATATTTTAATTTCTGGCATTATAGTTATTTCAGATATAAGATTCACAGTATATTCAGTTGTGATGTAGGACATGGAGACAGTCACACATGGAAAATTAGGTCTAAAAAGAACTGCAATCTTCAGATGTTTCAAACACCCAGGGAGGGGAAAAGAGGAAGAGTGGGCTTTTTAGTACCCTACATAAGAACAGTGAATTTACTTTAGGAAAATAAAAGGAAAGCTTGTAAGATGGGAAAAAGTACAGGTTTGTAATCTAGAAAAAGAGTACTTCTGCTAAAAATTGAAACTACTCAAATTATTTTTAAATTCTAATGGGAATAAATTCATTTTGGCCATTATGATGCAAAGCAGTTCAAGTTAACTCAGAAGGATGGCAAAACTCACATAAAAACATTACTTTTCAAACAGTATTTTATGTAAACATGGAATCCACTTAATACCATATTATCCTGCATGGGAATTATTTATAAGATTACCACTCTAAACTTTAATGTCTCTGTCCCTTTAAGGCAAGAACAAATGAGAAACCCATTTTACATGGCCTTCGAGCAATGGAAATCATGAAGGAAAGCAAAGTGGTTTATGAAATAAGGATCTTGAAAAAGTGGCAAGTTCTTGAAAGAAACTTATGCACAGTCAGGCATGGTGGAGCATACTTATAATTAGGAGGCTGAGGCAGAGGGTGGAAGGTTTAAGGCCAGCCTGGGCAACTTCATGAGATCCTGTCTCAAAATGAAATATACAGGGCTGGGGTTGTGGCTCAGTTGTGGAGCACTTGGCTACGATGCACATGGCCCTGGATTCAGTTCCTAGCACTGCAAAAACAAGAAAATGAACAAACATGATCCAAATATGATACTATGAATTTAAAACCTTAACCATACCACTATAAAAGTAAATGGTAGGAGTAACAAATTTTGAGGATAAGTGTTCCAAATCAAATTTAGCAGATGATAAACCTTTTCTGTCAAGTTCCAGACAATAAACATTTTCAAGTTGTGCAGGACTTGTACTTTTATCATTATGCTAGAAAGAGACCACAAATAAGACCAAAATGCATAGGTGTGGCTCTGATCCAATATAATTTTGGTTCTACAAGCAGATGACTTAGGATTTGGCATGAAGGCTGTGGTTTGCTGAACCCTGAAGTATTTACCTAACAATGCTTGCCCCTCTTCCAAATCTTACCTACCAAAATATCTTAATGTTTTAAACTTTTCCTCATATGGCACAAGAGCTTCATTTTCAGAGACTAAATTCCAGGAACACTCCTCTGGTGTTCCTTGAATAAATACACACAGAGATGTGGCTAAGGACATCTGAAGAAACCACACTTGTTAGAGATAAAAAAGGAAAACTTCCAGGACTCTAAATCCTTTTTTTTTTTTTTCTTTTTTTCTTTTTTTTTGGTGGGGGGGTGCTGGGGACAGTCTCACTATGTAGTTCAGGCTGGACTCACAGCAATCCTCTTGCCTCAGTCTCTGCTCGGATTATAGGCATGTACCATCATGTCCAACTCCAATTTCTTTTAGGTTAAATGCTTCTCCACCATGATTCAGAAGACTTTTGTCTGTTCAAATGAATTTTCTTTTCATTATCCATTGCTTTCATTTCTTTTTCCTTTTTTTTTTTTTTGGAGACGGGGTCTTACTATATGGTTCAGGCTGCTCTCAAATTTGCTATAATCTTCCTGCCTCAGCTTTCTGAGTGCTACAATTACAGGCATATACCAACATGCTCAGCAGCTTTCATTTTTAAAAGTTGGATAATCTAATCAAGTAAAACATCATTTTCACAAGCTAAAAAACAAAAAACAAAAATGTACAATTAGTGTCAATAGCTATAACTCTAAGTTATTTCATGGCCAAAGAGAATTTAGTTATTTAAAGTGACCAACAACCTGAAACCCAAACCAGATTTCAACAATTAAGTTAGGAGGAAAACAGTCCTTGTCTGCCTTCATACCATCTTTGGAAAGCCATACCTGACTTACAGGAGGAAATGGAAACATGAAAAAAATGCTTAAAAAAAAACCGGAAAAACTTTAACTGCTACTTTTTTTTACCTATATCTGTATTGTACAAGCTAAATTATTTTCACATAGTCTTTAATATAATAAAATGGTGTGGGGCAGTTTACAACTTAGATAAAATAAAACTCAGCTTAGAGGTAAATATGGTTCTGAGTAAAACAGAGAACAAGTCATTAGAAAGAGCCTTTCTGCCTAAGTTACTGTCATCTCAATGCTGTATTTTATTCTGGGTATTATTTTGCAGAGAATAAAAGGTGCATCTTAAAATGCAATATGTTTTTTGCTTAGAATACTGGATAGGTAGGTCTCTGGTATTAAGTGCCACTCAATAAATGGAAATCATCCCAGTGCTTATAATTTCATGGCATTAAGTTTTTTAATGATTTAGCTCTCAGTGCTAATGCAGTTCCCTTCACAAGGTGACATGTGCAAGCTAAGATTTGGTAATGAGTTTTCAGCATCAGCTAAAGTCCATTGAAGTACATCCTTAAGAGGTATCCTCCATGCACACATGATTATTGGTATTCATTAATGTACACAGAACATTACTGACTCATACGATCCTACAGTGATGTTAGCTAAGAACTAGGACAATGTCACAGTGAACCTGGCTAAGAATCTTGGATATTTAGAATAATACCTAACGAAAATAGGGAAATTGCTTTCAGAGGTTTTAATTTGTTTAACTGCCAGCCTGGCTTAAATTTTCACGAATTTCACAGCTCTGGCTAGTTCAATTAAGAGAGAACCAGCAAACATGGCTGTGCTGATGTGGTTCTAGACAACCAGGAAGCACTCTATTCACAGTATCGTTACAGTAAAAACCTACACAGACGTGAGTGAAAGGGAGGGGGAACCTACCAAACATATTATTTCCACATGGATTAGACAGTCCGTACTTCATTGAAGACATCTGCTGCAACTCTGAAAGGAGTGCTAACAAATGCTGCACAAAGTTTTCACTTTACAAAAATCACTGTACTTCACTTTTGCAATTTGGTAACAGTTTAAAAAGCTCTACTTTTCCCACATGTAATCTAAAAAAGTAATAAAGCAATAAAGAACTTTTTAGCATACTATTTCTCAAAAGTACAGTGGACTCAATTTTTTTTTTTTTTTTTTGGTAGGCTTAAAAGCTCCACTTAAAGCAGCATATTTTGTACTTCCCAGCTCCCTGCCTATTTTATAATGGCACAATCTGTCCATGGAAAGCCTAGACTACCAGCTGAAATGTATCCCTAAGGATTCCAGTCAAATTTCAGTTCTTATTTTTCTATTCCACAGAGCACAACCATCCCCCTAAGATGGCTCTGAGAGACAGTTTTCACCCTACCACGCTGCTATCCAATTACAGAAGGTGCCCTGGTCTGTCTCCTAAAAAACATATAGTTCCAATGCTGCCTTTGAAGTTAGGCTCTTATCAAATGGTAGCATCATGACATTCCTCTAAAAGATAGTTTTCTATGCTTTTCCAGAAGAGAAAACCTTTCTCTAGTGATAGAGTGCAGCTGTATGTATATGTGCAATTCTCAGATTGCTTAAAGCTACCTTTTGCATTCTAATTTCTTATCACAAAAAAAAAAAATCATTCTTCTTTACCTACCTTCCACATACCTCAAAGCATTCTCAGAAAAGGAGCACAACTAGCATTCTCACAAATGGCTCTCCAGTGCAGGTTTGACCAGCCCCTCTCCCAAATCTGTTACAATCATCTATGTCTGCACCAAAACAATTTCTTAACCCATTACATACTTAAATATATTTTTTAAAAACCAAGAGAAACAAGAGTTTTTTCCCTCTTTTCCTATTTGCACTCTAAATTGTAAGCATCCATATGCCTGCATCCCTTAATATTCTTCTTTTCTCTCTGCATGCAAGACAGGACATCTAAAGCTCTATGTGCATGGAAATTTCATTCAATGCTGGATTAAGAATCTCAGAAAAACCCAGAATTATTAAAAAGGTCCCTTTGAAGTTTTAAAAATCTTAGGAATGATGAAGTTACCAGACCTGATCAAATCTGATCCTTTGATCATTTATTGCAACACGATTGTGCAAGATGTTTCCTGGTAAGTGCCCTGTAGTGCAGTAAAAAAATCAAAGCTCTTGGAGTCACCAGCAAGGTGCTGATAGCTGGTTTATGAGTAACTAGGTTTGCAGACCCGAGACAGATTAAAGTGAGGTTCTTCATTGGACAGAAAATATAAAGTACTACATATGTAGAAGGAAATGAAATTGTGGCTGCAGTAAGAACAATAGTGTTGAGTTTCTTCAACCACAATATTGCAAAAAAAGTGTTTAAAACTTCATATAAAAGTTATCAAATATGGACACCTGTGGATTTAAAAATACAATCCAGGCTCATTTCATTGGAAAGTGACATTTTCGATGTAGAATATTGCTGTTGTGTGAAAGTAGGAGCCAAAGAGACTGGATGAAACTTTGGTAGTCAGCCTAACGGGTTAATTCATCTGAACTTGAGCCATTCCCTTAACACCAAGAACAGACAAACACTATGGTTTACAAATATCAGTCAGGAAGTTGCAGTATGGCTCTGTGTTGTTCAACATTTGCAAAACATACAAACACTTCCTTCCCTGCTCCTCTCTTCCTCAAGCCAACATTCAAGCCTCCAAATGCAGCAGTGCCTACTACGAACACTCAGCTGCTCATTTCACTTCCAGGGGCCTAAAGTGCTTCAGGTGATGCTGCCCACTAGAACAGCTCCCAGAAGGCTGACAACAGGAAACAGTAGCCAAAGGACTGGCTGTCTAGTACGGGCAAAGAGTCTAACCTTCCAGAACAGTAAGAACTGCCAGTATTCATTCATTTTTTTCCTTTAAATGTGAAGACGCACGCATTCTGGCAGGGAAGGATTCCCCCTCCTCATGACTACCTCCTCTTGTGGTTGGCTGCTTCAGATGGCCGAGGCTCCTGTTGCATTTTTTAGATACTGGGCAATTATAGCCACCCAGATGATATGGATCTAAGTACAGTGTTCAAACATGACTGGCAGAAAAAATGACGATTTATCATAGTTTTGTTAAAAAATTTTCTTATAAAGTTAACAAACCAAGGCTGTTGATCCCTGAATTAGAAGGTTGATTTGCTTATTTTCCAAAATGAGGTGGAAGGAGGAGGGGACGAGCCTTTAGTGCTTTTATGTATGTTGCTGACCCTCTAGTTTGGCAACATCTTGGGAACACCTGGTCTAGTGATGTGGCTTTTTGTGAATCTCAGTACCAGCCCACGGCCCTGACATGGGCTGCTTATGGCCCAGAGGGGAAGAGGGTCCACCCCCTCCCCCTCAAGGTTTCAATCTGGCCCTGTAGTGGACACAGAGCCCTGGGCAGTTTCCCCAGCAGCAACTGTCTCTTCCTGTGAAGGTGACTCTTCCTCAACTTGTCCTCGAGATGTGACAGTTGTTTCAGGTGAGATGCTGTGAGGCCCCTCCAGAGGTATACAGCCAGGGTGGTTTTTTCGAAAGTGCTGATTTAAGATGGCCTGAAAGGGGAAACTTTTGCCACAAACATGACAGTGAAAGGGCTTGTTGCCTGTGTGCTTACGGATATGATACTCCAGCTGATCTTTCCGGGTATACTTCTTGCCACACATGCGGCAAACGAATGGTGTGATGCCCATGTGCAGGCGCATGTGGCGGTCCAGGCTGCCCTTCTGGTTGAAAGACTTGGCGCAGTAGATGCAGGTGAGCCGGGGGTTATATCGGAACCACCGCTCAGATACTTCTTGCTCCCGGAGATACTCCACGTAGCCACTTACCCCCATCATTGCTGACTCTTCTACCTGAACAGAAGAGGGACAAAAGCAGGAATAAACATGTCTCCTTAATTACGCACATTGCAAGGAATCAAATGTGTTTTCACCTATTACCAAGATACAGGGAGGGGTGTGTGTGTGTGCGCGTGCATGTGTGTGTGCGCTGCTGGGAACTGAGTCCAGGGTTTCCAGCATACTAGGTGAGCACTCTACCACTGAACTACTTCTCCAGTTTCTCTATTCTTATTTTCAACAGAGAACTGAGCAAGAAATTACCACCAGAACTAGAGATGTTAACATAACAATTTACAAAATACTCTTTCATTACCATAAAAGCAACATAAAAATGTTACTTTCTGGTTGACAAAGTGGATGTTTATTAAACTTTTGATTACAACAAGAAAATCTGGGCCCACTTATTATCATTTCTTGGATTCTACTCGTTACTCAGGTACTTAGGCAGTGCTAGTTCAACCCAGGCTAGGTTTGAATGTACCATCCTCTTTCCTCAGCCTCCTAGACTGCTGAGATTACAGGTATATGCCACTCTGCCGGGCCAAGTTGACTACCTTTTAAACACACTTAGTCCCACAAAACTGTCACTGAAGTCTTTGTCTTATATTTATCTTATTTTGGGGTATATTTATCCGTATCATACCTCCATTGTAAAGATTTTTTTTTTTTTTTTTTGTGGAAGCAGGAATTGAACTCAGGACCTTGCACTTGCCAGGCAAGCACTTATTCTACAGAGCTAGTTCCCCGAACCTAAAAATTTCTTTACTGTATTTAGTTGCATGACTAGTTATATCTGCATGCTTATCACACCATATTCGAGAGATGAGAAAAAGAGCCCTAATTCATTTCACTGACCTTCTCAGACCAAAAAGCTACAACTCTTGTTGCACAGGTCCTGCTTTACCTTGGTCTTAACCATCCAGTAGAAAAGTACGAAGACGAAATATAGGAAGTAAAGCCATGTTGTTAGGTTGAGCTGTGGGGGACTCAGGTCAATAATTTCTGACATTGCCAGTTAAACAGAGGACCCAATGCTATTATGGGCTACTGGACTCTTTTGGAATATTTTGCTGAGTTTACACACCTGTAATATTCAACAGCAGAACTTAAAAAAATTTGGATATAACTATGAATGTCCATTTTGTATCTGTGTATTCAAAGTGGTTGGGATAGATATATAGTTGCATTCTCTTAATGAATAGAATGATTTGTTCTAATGGTGTTTGTAAGTAGGATCACAGGTCTGCATCTTGTACAGCAATTAACCACTGGGAAGAATGTATGCAGTGTATTATTGAAAAAAAAATAACATTTTTGGTCTACAAGCTTTGAAATACTACATAAATATAACATATGTATGTGATAGTACAAATCTGATGATGTCTGCCTATACTTGTACAGAAATTGTGTACCTAAACCCATGCAAATTTTCCTATGAAGAATTTTGTTATCAAAAAAAAGCAAAAAAAAGAGCCCTAATTACACGAGCAAATGTATTTTTTCTCTAAGCTGACTTTTTTCCTAATATCTTATCAAAACTAACAAATACAGTTGATAATAATGGCTTATCGTTATTACTGTCTCATATATACAATAAATATATTCAGGTAAAAGATGGAAGTATAATGCAAATATCCAAACAACTAGCTATGCAATCTTTTTGTTTTTAATTTTATTTATATGTGTGTGTGTGTGTGTGTGTGTGTGTGTGGCCAGCTCAGCCCACCAGGGGGGGGGGCTGGCTGGCATGTGGTGCTGGGGGATTGAACTGCGGTCCCTGTGCTTTGCTAAGCTTGTTCTAAGTAGGTGCTTTAGACCACTGAGCCATCTCACCAGCCCCTAGCTATGCAATCTTAATCTGTGCTTCTTTTTTAAAGGCAAACAAGCCTAATTTATTGTGTTCTACCAGTTCAGTTTACTACCTTTTTAAAATTCAAAGCGTGGTGGCACACACCTGAAATCCCAACACTCAGGAGGCTGAGGCAGGAAGATCATCATGAGCTTGAGGCCAATCCCTTACTACATAATGAGTTCAGGGTCAGCCTGAGCTACCAAGCAAGACTGTCTCAAAAAAACCAAAAAGAGCTAAAGTTCAATGATTTATACCTGTGAGAAATAATGAACAAAAGCAACAAGCAACTAGTTTTAATAGTTCTAAGAGAGTCACACACACAAAAAAGACATATTTCTTTTTTTCTTTTTCTTCTTTTTTTTTTTTTTTTTTTTTGGCAGAACCAGGGACTGAATTTAGGCCCTTGTGCTTGTCAGGCAAGCGCTTTTTCTACTGAGCTATCTCCCGAGGCCCAAAAGACATATTTCTATCCTTTTAAAACACCATAGTTGGGCTGGGGAGATAGCTCGGTGGTCTAAATGCCTGCCTGGCACGCACAAGGACCCTAGTTCAAACCTCAGTACCACTGCTGCGCTGGTGTGGTGGCGCACACCTGTAATCCTAGTGCTAGGGAGGCTGAGACAGGGGGATCACTTAGGATCAACTTGAGACCCTGTATCAAATAAGTCAATTAAAAAAAAAAAAACCACCACAGTCTAACAAAAGACTGGGTAATTAGTCTGGGTGTGGTGGCACACACCTGTAATCCCTACACTAGGGAGGCAGAAATCAGTAGGATTACTACGAGTCTGAGCTGCGCAGTGAGACCCTGCACACAAACAAAACAAAACAAACTTCAAAAGACTTGGTAAGAAAATAACAAGACTGGGTATGGTGGCACGTGTTTGTAGTCCCAGTGCTTAGAAGGCTGTGCTAGGAGGACCACCTCGAGTTTGAGGCCAGCCTGGACTACAAAGTGAGACCCTGTGTCAAAAACAAAATCAAACAAACAAACAAAAAAGCCACACAAAATAAATGTATCCAAAATAGCACAGACACAAAAATGCATGAGCGATTTGTTTACAAATATATAACACTACATAAATCAGTACTTAAGCATACATATGTAGTGTTAACCCCATCACTCTTTTTATTCCATGGCTTCAGTTTCCTGCATGTAGTTCTGAGGGGTTAATTTTACTCCGAGGGCTACAATTGTTCCTTATAATCAGTGAAGAGTTCTGTCACTCTCTCTCTCTTACTTAGCGCTGGTGACTGAACCCAGGACTCTGTGCATGCTAGGCAAGTGATGTGCCACTGAGCTACATCCCCAGCCCTCTTCTTAAATTTCTATTTTGAGCAGGATTTTGCTAAGTTGTCCGCGCTGGTCTGGCATTTTTGGTCCTGCTGCTTCAGCCTCCAGAGTAGCTGCGATTATAGGTCATGTGTCAACGTGCTCAGCTAAGTCTCACAACTTTGTTTCCCTAATTCTCATACCCATTGACAACAGAAGTGTATTTCTGGCATGCTCACAAAGATGAATAAAGACAAGAACAGATCTACAGGATTTATTTACTCTCTGTGGTGTTGTGGGTTAAAGCTAGGCCTTTGCACTGAGCCTTTTTTCTTTTGAGACAGGATCTCACAGAGTCACTAAGTTGCCCAGGCTGGGCTCCAAATTTGCACCCCCCAGTCTCAGCCTCCCAGAGCGCTGAGATCACAGGAGTACACCACCATGATTGGCTAAATACAGTATTTCTTTAGTATATAAATAGTTACCTCTCCATTTTTCTTCTCTTGCTCATTTTATTCTGCCACACCCAGTGCAATTCCTCAATCAATGTAGCAGTGCTATAAACCACACCTACATACCTGTGAGCTGGGTTGCTTGGGCTCATCCATTCTCCCAGGAGACTCACTTCTGGCTCTGTGTCTCTCTGTCAGGGGAACCACACTGCCAGAGGGACTAAATCTGTTGGAAGAGGAGCATAAAGGGGACTAACGGTAATGTCAAAGAATTTTAAATAATGATGATAGCTGGGCATGGTGGCACATGCCTCCCAGTAGGAGAGATGCTGAGGCAGGAGAATCACTGTGAGTTCATGGACAGCCTGGGCTACCTAGTTAGACTCTCTCAAAGAATCAAACCAAACCAAACCAAACCAAATAAAATAACAACAAAAAATTTTTTAAAAAATGATGCTTCCCCTCTTTATGTTTGAGGAAGGAACAAACCTAGTAACACATAACTGAGAAATCCTTTCATGGAGTTAACATAGGAACTGGTTTGAAATAAGGTAAGAAACGTTTGTCTTAGTACATTTTAAAAAATACAAAATGACAAAGGATATAGATCATTTGAGCTGGTAAAATAAAGCCAAATATAAGCTTTTTTACTCTTACGTTAAGTACTGGGACAGAGGTAAAAGAATAAATAAAAATCAGGTCTGCAATATTATTTCCTTCTACTTTGCTACTGTTTTTTTTGTTCCCTTTCCATGAGAACTGTTATATATTTTATTTTATTATTTATTTAATTTATTTATTTTTAAACTTTCTGCAAAGCTTTATTCTGCAGGGGCTCAGTCCTTCTTGGCAACTGCCTTCCTCATGGCGGCCAGTACGTTGCTCAGCTCCTCACGCTTCCTCTTGGCGCGGATGTGCGTCCCACCCTTTTCTTGATGAACTTGAGGGCGCGCTTGTCCTTGGAGACCTTGAGCAGCTCCATGGCAAAGCTGCACACCTCCCGGATCATGTCCTGCAGGAACTTGGAGTGTTTGGTGAGACGTCCGCGGCGGCGGCTGTGCCTCGGTTTGCTCACATTCTTAGTCACCTTGTGGCCCTTGTTGAGGCCCACGGCCATGGGATAGCGGAAGGCCATGGCTACTCTTTTTCAATGGTTGCGGTGGCTGAGAACTGTTATATATTTTAGACTGTTGGTACTGATTATAGAGATGAAAAATCTTTGCAATTAAACTGATATACTTCTGATATATTTCTAACATAGGATATAAACTGCTAACACTGGGGTTCAACAAACCGTGCTCAAAAATATGTTTTTTTTTCTTTTTGAGACAGGGTTTAAAGCAGGCCTTGACTTAAGGCAATCCCCTTGCCTCAGCCTGAGTACTGGGATTATAGGCACAGAGCACCATGCCTTGCTAAGAATATTTTCCTTCTTTCTTTTGGAATTTAGTACAGGATCTACAGGGTGTCACTATGTAGATCGGACTCACAGTGATTCTTCTGTTTACAACCTCCCAAGGGACAGAATTACACGTGTGCACCATTACACCCAGTCTCTCTCTCTTTTTTTTTTTGCCGAACTGGGGATTGAACTCAGGCCCTTGTGCTTGCCAGGGAAGCCCTTATTCCACTGAGCCATCTCGCTGGCCCCTATACCCAGTCTCAATCAAAGTCTCAGCACACTCTGGGGGCAGGGTCTGTGGGGCAGGTGAGGGATCAAACCTGACTGTTGCACTTTGCCTAAGCATCGCTTTAGTCCACTGAGCTATCTGGCCTGCCCTAGAATATTTTCCTTTTCTTTTTTTGTCATTTTGAGACAAGGTCTCACCATGCAGTTCAGGGTGGCCTTGAGCTCATTTTGTGGCCCAGGTTGATTTCAAACTCATCATGATTCCTCTGCCTCAGCCTCCTAAGTGCTGGGATTACAGGTGTGCACTACCTTGCCTGGCTTAGAATTTTTTTTTTTTTTTTTTTTTTTGCGGAACTGGGATTGAACTCAGGCCCTTGCGATTTTACTGAGCCATCTCCCCAGCCCCAGAATATTTTTATTACATGTACACAAAAGAAAATGTTCAGGGCTCTAGAGATAGCTCAGCAGTCTAAGTGACTGCCTGGCAAGCAAAAGGACCTGAGTTTGATCCCCTGTACTGCATGCCATGCAGGCCCTGGAACTATGGGCAAGCTGTGCTGGCCCCCAAAACTGGGTGCAGGCCTATAATCCAGTGCTAGTGAGAATCACTACAAATCCAAGCCACACAGTGAGACCTGGCATCAAATAAATAAGTAAACAAGATTTTAAGCAATAAAAAAGAAAAAGAAAATACTTAGGTCAGATCTTCCTGAAGTGGGCACAGTAGGCAGTACTATCTAAATGCCTGCAATACTCATGTCTCTCAACATCAGGTAGAAGCCAAAGAAATAGCTTCTCTAGCTTTTATTGCTCATTCAATTTTAATTTATTTCAAATTGAGAGGAAAAGAATAAATATTACTGTTAGTTTATAAATTGTAATGTCTGAATGTTCCCCCAAAGCCTCATGTAGTCATGGGGTAGGGACTTCCAGAGTCTAAGATTAATTCATGATCAGGCTGGGATTATGGGTTTTAGTACTGCTGGGATTATGGGTGTAAGTACTACACCCAGCCTGGAGCGGATATCCTCAATGCAATTTAAGGGAGACAGACATCCTCTCTGTAGCCACTGTTGCTAGCCATGGTTGCTGCTACTCCTCCCTTGCTCTCTTCTCTTTGCCGCTGTCAAGAAAGGTTACTCTCTGCCATGTGCCACTCTGACTGGAGCCAGCCGAGTATGGACTGAAACCTCCAGTAATGGTGAGCTAAATAAACCTTTCCTTCCTTCATTTTGGGTGTCGAGTATTTGTCCCAGCAATGAGACAAGAGTAACTGAGACAGTTACCAATTTGAATTAGTCATTTTTTTCTTTCAATTGATTTAGATTGGGCTGGGGAGATGGCTCAGTAGAATAAACGCTTCCCTGGCAGGTGCAAGGGCCTGAGTTCAATTCCCGGTTCCACCAAAAAAACAAAAAAACGAAAAAAACAAAAACAGCCTATCAATTGATTTAGATCAAAAGTAGTGCTGTTTCTACCACAGAGAGTGGCAAGCCCTACAGAGTTATTTATTTATTTTTGTATTTTAGGGAATGGCCTACAGGGTGTTCAGGGTCTCACTACTAGATTGACTGCTGGATTGACCTGTTTACAGCCTCCCAAGAGCTGGGATTATAGGTGTGCACTACCACACCCAGTCTCAAGTGCACCTTGCCATCTCAGTGCACCTGTGGCGGGGCTGGCACAGGCAGGCCCGGGATTGAATCCCCAGCCCCTGAGCCTGTTTGCAGGGGCTTTAATCTGCTGAGCTATTTGGCCGGCCCTTTTATTTATTTATTTATTTATTTATTTATTTTTGCCGAGCCGGCCCTTTCTTTTTTATTTCTTCATTTATTTATTTATTTATTTATTTTATTTATGTGTATGTGTGTGTGTGTGTGTGTGTGTGTGTGTGTGTGTAGCCAGCTCAGCCCACCAGGGGGCGGTGCTGGCTGGCATGTGGTGCTGGGGGATTGAACCGTGGTCCCCGTGCTTTGCCAAGCTTGTTCTAAGTAGGTGCTTTAGACCACTGAGCCATCTCACCAGCCCCGTATTTCTTCATTTATTTAGCCTATAGAACTTTTAATGATAACAGTGTGTGTGCAGCAGTGTGCTACCACTCCCCTCACATGGTCAATGTATTGAAGAAAAGTGGCAAAGTGCATTGCTGGAAAGTTGACACTATTTTAAAAAGAACAGTCACTGATGCTGTTTCTCTGAATTTGGTAGATGAGGGCAAAGAGAAATAAACAGTACTGCAGATTAAGGGACCTCCCAAGGTTACCTACCTGAGTGATAACCGGCCAAGGAAGGAAGGGCAGTGCAGCCAGGCTCCCAGTGGAGGCGCAGCTCCCTGCCTGGAATCCTGAGGGAGCCCTGGCAACGATGGATCTAATGCGGCTGCAGGCGCTATTCAGATGCATGGAAGTGTCTAACTTTACCATAGTTCTTTCAACACTGTGAATACTTCAGGACTATGGCTTCAGCTTTAAAAAAACAAGAATGCAAGTCTTTTGGCATACCTCTAGCTTCCCCCAAATCAACTCATTGTGGTTAAGGATATCAGGTAAGGAAGATGCACTACAAAACAGGGGACCTATTCAATGATATCTACACATTAACCATTAGGTGAGGAAAGAAAACAAACCTTACCTGTCAATGTCACTGCTTGTTGGCCGAGCCACCTTGGCCCCTGAAGACCCCAAAGTGTAACTTTCCTGTCCTACAGATCCATGGCCTGTGGTGTCAATGACCATGGCTGTGACTTCCTCAGCACTACTCCCATCTTCTCCAGAAGGCTGATTCTCAGGCCCAAGCCACTCCTCCAGATTTTCAGTTTTGATGTGCACTGCTCCCAGAACCCTAACTTCATCATCACTCCGGGCACCCCGATCTGCTACTCCTGTCTCCACATACCACTGTCCTGCTCGGTTGATCCGGAGAATGGGCTCCCGGCTCTCTATATCAGAACTCTGTTCAATGATCTGAGGGCTGGTGGATTCCTCAGGAGGACTTAGCTCTCTGATATCCAGCACAGCACTGACCTGTCCCCGCCGGTGGTTTCCCTTTGGGGTATTATGTCGAGGGCTAAGGGAGCGGTTTAGATTTGGTGTGACCCTGTGAGACTCTGGAGGTCTCTCTTGATGCTTGGTCCTTGTTTGACTTAATTCTGCTTCAACCTCAGCCACGTTAATTTTGAAATGAATGCCCTCCAGGATCTGTGTGCACTTGTCTATAATATGCTGCATCTGCAGAAAACTAGCAGCTGTTAGGTAGCTGATGATATCTGCCAGTTGCAGGCATATCCGCCCTGTGTAACAGAAAGAAAGGAGCTGTTCAAAAACAGTAGGGTTCTTGATGACTGAAATGGAGACAGTACTCATTTCATTCAAGGACATGTGATCCCGGAAATAGGGGGAACTGGCAGCCAGTACCACTTTGTGAGCCCGAAAAGCTTGTCCTTGCACATTGACCACAATATCACACAGACGGCCCTGCATGCGCAGCTGATTTAGATGGCTCAGGACAGAGTTGCTGAAGTCAGGGATCTCCAGTTGTATGTTCCCTCCTTTCTCCATGGTCATGCCTGAAGAAGCAGGCACGCATTCAACCCTGCTGAGAGAAGAAACCATATTCTCATTAAGGATTACAATCTTACTCCCCTGCTGCTGTCTAGTTCAAACATACTTTCCTAAAAGCTTAGGCTAGGACCATATTTTCCTTACTAATACAGTAGACCACATCAAAATAAAAGCTCAAGCTAGGTGTGGTGGTGCACACTTGTAATGCCAGCACTCTGGAGGCCAAGGCAGGAGGATCACAGCAAGCTTATGGCCAGCCTGGGCTACAGAGTGAGTTCAAGATTAGCCTGAGCTACAAAGCAACAAACACTCTATCTCAAAAAATAGGAAATTCAAGAGGGAAAAGCACTAATTATAAGGTTGATTTTTTTATTTTTATTTTTATTTTTTTTGTGGTACCAAAGATTGAACTCAGGACCCTGCGCTTGCCAGGCATTCTACTGAACTATCTCCCTGGCCCCTTGATTATAAGGTTATGTGGAGATCTGATTATACAATTCCAAGGCAATGTTACAACTTTTCTCTAAAAGGAAAGAAACAAGCTTTATGAAGAAATTCAGTTATACCTAGACAGGTTGGTTAGGTACCTAACATTTTACTACATGCAGGCTGTTATGTTTATTACTATATAAACTAATATCCCACAAGAAAGGGCAGTATTTCTTAGCCTTAGGAGTCAGGGGCACCCAAAAAATCTTTGGATAGGGGGTCCCAGGGCAAGTATAGATTAGAAAGAATTCCACAGCCTTGGGCCAGGGAGATAGTTCAGTAGAATAAGCGCTTGCCTGGCAAGCACAGGGTCCTGAGATCAATCCCGGGTGGAGGGCGGGGGGAGGGCAGAATTCCACAGCCTTGTAGCTGCAGAGTAGCTGAAGTTCATCCGAGTCAGGAAGGGCCACATAAATCTGCCTGTATACAAATTCGAAGTTGGGAATTTCGGGTGGTGGGGATCAATCTTGGCTTTGCACATGCATTTCTAAAATCTACTTCCCTAGATGAGCTGACTGGTATCTTAAAAATACAGCATTTGCAAATATGGCCAAAATCTTTATATTGAAAGACTGCAGCTGCATCCAACAGTGTTCAGTAGCTGAAAGTACACTTGGTATAAAGCCCAACTTCCATCACAGTTGCATAAGACCTGAAACTTCAGGAAACTTATCCTGGCAAACTCTGGCCCATCTACACACACTTAGCAGTAAACAGGAAAGTGTATGTACACTGCTTTCAAGAACCAATTTTAGCCAATCTGACCTTTTTCCAAAGCGTTATTGTTTGTTTTGAAACTTTTAATCCAAAAAGAGCCTCAGTCGATGCCATCATGAATGCAGATGTGTTTATTTTGGAGCCCACACCAGCGCCTTTTTTGTTTGCGCTTTCCGGCAATTCCCCAGTGAGGAGGAAGCCCCTGGAAGAAAGTCTCTACCGTCGGCACTGGAGGGTGAGAGCTGTAAGAGGGAGAACCGGGACCGGCATGGGGTTGGCCGCTCTGGTACCCAAGAAGCTTTCGTCTGCGTGAGAAGCGTGGGGGACTGGCCGAGGAGCGGACTGTCACCGAGGAACCCAGCGCTCGGGGACCTAAACGTCGGTCGCGGAGCCAGCGCAGAGGTGAGCGCGCAGGACTGGGAAGGGGGCGGCGCCCCGGGAGCGGCTCCCGGCGGAGGGGCGGCGGGCGGGAGCCGCCCCGAGGTGGGTGTGTGCATCTGGGTGTGTCCCGCCGCGGGGAGGGGGCCGCCCCGCCCGGGGTCCTGAGGGAGGGGCTGCGAGGGGGCGGGTCCGCCGGCGCAGCCGGCCCGCGGCCAAAGGGGTGGAAGGTCGCTGAGTGCCTAGCGGGGAGGCGGAGGAAAGCGGCGGAGCCCCGGGAGCAGGCTGCAGCAGAGACAGGGCGAGGTAGCCGCGGTGCAGGGCGACGGAACCGGGGTACGGGGCCCGAGCCCAGTCAAAGAGCAGCACCTACCTCCGGGGGTGGAAACGGGCCGGAATGGGCCGGAACACCGTCCCGGAAGTGAAACCCCCCGCCCCCACCCCCGGAGCGGGCGACGTGCCGGAAGGAAATCACTCACCCTTACATCGCCCCTCCCCTCCCCCACAGCTGGGCGTCCCCTCGCGCCCCCTCCCCTCGGCTCTTCTCCCTCAGGAGGAGCGCAGGAGCCCGCGTCACGCGGGCGATCCTGACCCCGCCTACGAAGGCGGGACGGGAGGGGCAGAGGGCGGGACTTGAAGGGAGGAGGAGCTGGAGGGGTGCAGAGGAGCGTGCGCCATGACGTCACGAAGGGCCCTTATATAAGGGGACGCAGACGCCATCTCGTTCTTTCAGCGGTGTGACCTGGTATCCGGTAGGTGGTTATAATTTTACTGAGCTTATTTTATTTTATTTTTTTTGCTTCTTCGGTGGTGAACCTGAGGATCTTAGTATATGTAAGGCAAGCCCTTTGGGACTGAGCCATACTTTGGTTCATCTTTGGGGGTGGGAAATGTTTTGAACCCTGCTTGTTAGCCTTAAGGTCACCCAAAACTAGCTCGTCTCTTGCAGGGCTGGTGGAGGTGGAGGGAGGTTGCGGGTTGAGATGGCTCAGCTGCGGAGAAGACTCAGGCCTGCGTGCCGTGCTAATGATGAAGCCTGTGTTGGTAGGGACATCTGAGAGTGCTGATGAATGCCAACGGCTCTGAGGGCGGCGCGGGCCGAATCGCCCCGGGAGGCCATTGTTCAAACTCCCGGCCTGAGCGGTAGTTGGCTGAAGATGAGGAAATGCCTAGGTGGGGCCCACGTGCGTCTCACATAACTGTTTTTCGCACTGCAGCATTTACTTCCTGTCTTGGGTCTCTACTGATTGAAATACATTTTTGTAATACTAAGTGTAGATTTTGTTTTTATGCGGTACCGGGGATCTGACCTATCTTCTTGGTCCAGTTAATATGTCCGCAGCGCCCCGGCGCTAAGCTTTACTCCTTGCTTACACTGATGAAATTGGGTCCTATGAGGCAGCTGCATAGAAAACTGTTTAGGATTATGACTTTAAACACATGGATTAAAAATCTTTTTCATTAGGAATGGTGAATTACACAAGTGGAATTTGGCGTTTGATGGCCAGGTAAGACTGGGTGGGGAAGGTGGAAAATGAAATGGTGCATAGATGATTTATTCTATACTAAGCCTATGATGGTTTAAGAGTAGTGGACAGAAGGGATTTCTGAAACGTTTTATTCTGAGGCTTGAAGGCATAGAAGTGGTATTTAATTTTTGATCTGAAAAATTCTCATTGTGGATATTTTTGTTTCCTAGTTATGTGGCAAAAAAGGATGAGAATTTAAGGTAAGTTAATAAAATTCACTCGGGAAAGTAAGCCCATGTGCCACAATGATGACATTATATTTGCTACTCTTGACTGTGAGAATGACGATAATGTTAACCACCATTATCCTAACTGAGGCACAGGGAACACTGACTTGGGGAACATGGAGATTGCTCCTGAGCTCACTAAGGGTTTGTTTTCTCCCTAGGTCCTAAGCATGAAGCCACCAGCCATGGGTATACAGGTGAGAAACTTTCAGGCCTTAACTGCATCAGTGCTGTACATAAATTGTATGAGCTTGCCTCATTTTGATGGCTAAGAAGTTAATACTAGTGTGTGGGGAGGAGGAATAAACAGATACCATGATGGTTGCATAGTTCAGCAGAAGACCCGTGAAGAGATTTCATCACATGTCTGATGTATCTGGGATTAGTGAATGTGCCACTGATAGCATTAAAGGTCTTTCTTAGGTGTGTTTAAATTCTTTTCATAGGTTCTTGGGAAAGCCTGAAGTGGAAATGGTGAGTGAAATTATCCAATTAAACATAGATAACAGGGCAAGCTACTGAAGGTACAAAATAAAGGCATTTTGTGAGAATGCACTAAGCACACTTACTGTGGCAGCTGAATGCAGTAGCTAATACCAGGTTCTTGTCCGGTTCACTATTTGTAAGACTTTGTAAAATAGCAGCCTGGATGATGATAAGCAAATACTGACTGAAATATGAAGGTCTTAATTAGCTCTAACTGATCTCGGGCATTGTTAGCTTTGCGGGAAGAAAATTCATCCTTAGCTATTCTAAAGCATCTTTCGTTTTTTTGTCTTTGAGACAGGGTCTCACAGTGCAGCTCAGGCTGTCCTTGACCTTGCTTTGTAGCTCAAGCTGGTCATGAACTCAGTATTCTCCTGCCTCAACCTACCGAATGCTGGGATTACAGCTGTGTGGCAGCATGCCTGGTGTAATTGGTCAGGTTTAGCTGGACCAGCTTTGCTTGAGTAAGTACTGGGGAACAGGTTGAGAACAGTGCATAAGTGGCATGCCTACTGGTTGGCTTTTAATGTGGATAGCTCCTGTTTGATGTTCACATTGCGTTTTCTTTGAGCATGCTCTGTATGGGTTTTTGTAATGATGTTGATCAAATGTCTGACCTGAAAAGTGCATGTAGACAAATTTAACACTGAATAACCCTGTGATGAATATTGAAGAAAAGTTTAATGGTTTTTAGCATATTGATGGAAGTTCTGTTTTTATTCTAGATAATTACACATCTGGATGACTTGCTTTGGTAAGGAAATAGATGAAAATGGTTTTACTTTCCTGGTATGCTGTGCTTATTTGTAGTTCTGAAATTTCCTGTAGCTAACCTTAATCTGTAACAGGTGACTCCAGTTACTGCATTCAGTAGGACAGGAAGTTACTAAATATATTTTTATTTTAAAAGAAAAATACAAAATTTTAAAACAAGATTGTAGGCAAGTAACAATGGTTAGAATGTTGTGTATTGCTCTTTGAGGTACTTCCTTGCATTATAAGATACAGGCATGACTTGATCAAACAATAGACATAAACCTCTTCAATGAACTAGTAATTGGAATGTCTTTATTTCTGTGTTTATATATCCATATTATGAAATGTATCTAAAATTGTTTTTCAGGTCCAGAATTTGCAACCTTATGAAGGTATGCATATTTTGTTAACCTTGGTACTTTGACAAAGGTAACCTATGGGTACTGTTAGTGATGAAGCCTAAACAGATGGGAATCTCTCTGAATGAGAATGAAGCTTTATTTTAAACTGAAACAGTAGTTGGGGGAGGTCTTTTAGGAAAAGCACCTGTGAACACTCTTTAATTAGATGAACTTTACAGGCACTTGGAGTTGCCATGGCTGTGGTGCATCGTGGGAGAGAAGTTTTCAGGAAAGGTAAGCCATCTCAAATCTTGTGGTTTTGGGGATTGAACCCAGGTACACTGCTAGGTGAGTGCTCTGCCTCTGAGCGTACACCGTCAGCCTTTAAGACTGGCTAAGTCATCCAAAAGCTGATACAGTGATGATAACATAGTTCAGCAGACTCATGCTGATGAACAAGCACAAGTCTTTCGCTCCTATCTGATGTATCTGGCTACAAAAATCCAACTTAACAATAAATCATTTATTGTCCCTTAGAAAGTGTAGGGTCACTTACAAGTGTCTGTCTTTATACTCTCACATACAGAGTCAAGAATTGAAGATAAACAAGCCAGGTTGCGCGCATCTACTGCACAGGTTGAGGCAAAATGACTTGAGCTCGAGTTCAAATAATGCAGGAAGACTGAACTTCCCTCTCAAAGGAACTCATGACTGAGGAGATGGAGGTTAGCTTCTATGTTACATGTACAAATTACCTAGGTTATAACAGAAAAGTGAACTAAAGAGTGAAGAGGGAAACTAAGTAGCACCTCTTTCTTCGGGGGCCCAGGAGATGGAGTGCAGGGCCTCATGCAAGTGAAAGCCACATGCTTTACTGAGCTATGTCCTTGACCCAGTGGGACAGACACATTTTAACTATTTTTTCTATTTCTGAACCAGGTAACCCTTGTCCTCATGATGTCTTCAAGGTAAGGAGGCTTGCTGTGTTCTTGCAATGGCTTGGAGTGTAACCAATGATGTGATGATTCTGCCAAATGAAACAAAGTGATATCACTTACAAAACCGTTCCATTTTGATTCTGAGGTTACAGTATCAGTAAACATTGCGGAATTCTTTTTTTCTGTGACTAAATACAATTCTAATTTTTCTTCAGGACTATGGCATGGCACCAGTGGGCACAGTTTATCCTTACAAAAAGGTGAGGATTGAGAATGTCAGTACTGTTCCTGATCCAGAATACATGATGATCTCACCTCAACTTGAACTCTCTCACTGATTATTGATGATGAGAAAGATCTGATATTCTGTATTCCCCAATTTTTTGTGAGTTGAACTCTGGAAATAGGGCTAAAACCGGTGTCTTCTGTTGCAGGAAATCAGATGGATGTTCACTGAAGAGAAGGTTAAAGATGCCAATTTTAATAAATTTGTGTGAACTATCTGGAAAAGTTGTATTTTTTATGTTGTTGTTGCTAGGGCAGTGGCTAAAATTGAACCAGGGTAAGGGAAGGAAGATTGGTCAGAGTGGTGTTTTTTAATACATATTTTAACTAGAAGTACATGCACCTTACAGATTGCATTGTACTGCTTCATTTCAGAAGAGCCATAGAATGGCAATAAAAGCATCTTTCAGAATAGGCAGTATTTGGCTATTTTTGCTGTGTAAGAACTGAAAGTTAAATGTTCTCAAACTAGATACTGTTGGCACAGGTAGTTTGAAGACCAAAGTGACAGGTTTTTGGCAAGTAAATGTCTATGTGGAGATAGGAAGTTGAAAACAGCTGGTACTCCTGTGGTTGTCTTCTGGGTAGTTCTTGAGGATGCAGGTCAGAGTGCCCGTGTGCTGTGCTTAGGATAGAATCTGCCTTATGCTACCTGAGGTCCTGTTTTAATTAGGTAAGTAAGTTCCTATCTTGGGTCATGGTAGGAGACTGCTGTGGCTTAACTGGCTGTTTTCAAGCCATTTCTGCTACCACACCAGCTCCCTTTCACACAGTGAACATTTCACAATATCTCAGGAAGTTGTCGACTCAGCCTTTTCCTACACATTGGTGGCTTTCCAGTGTCCTCTGCTGCTATAGGGAGAGCAATACACGTGGTTTGCAAAAGTCGCTAGTGCAGGCTGGCTTTGATGTTGCCTCAGCCTTTCAAGTGTCCACAGACTATAGGAATGTGCCATACACCCAGCACAACAGTTTCCTGTTTACAGCTATCCACATTTACTGCTTGTATGCACATGAAATCATGTAATTCCATGGTTGTCAAACATTAGAAGCAGTAAAGATTACCCCATTGAATGAAGTTCTTTCCTGCTTCTGGCCACAAAAATGCACAAGAACCAAGTCAAATTTACAAAGTAGATTTGATTTGACTAAATTCAGTTGAGCTTAACCCCTAACCATTGAATTTAACTGCATTCTACTCCAGCTGTATGGTAAATTAACCTCTTGTCTAGAACCTCTAATTGCTGGGATTACAGCTGTTGGTGTGCAACCCCCCCTCATTGAGGTAGGCTCTTCCTATGTAGTTCCAGCCTAAATGTGCTTCTGCTGGTGATGTGCTTGCTTCCCAGGTAGTGAGATTACATGCCTGTGCTCAGCTTCAATGACCACTTGTAACTGACACTAAAATTTTTTTATTTAATGTATTTGGTACAGGGTATTACTGTGCAGCTCAGACTCCCCAGCACTGGGAATACAGGTATGCGCCACCAAGCCTGGTCCTACTTAGCATTCCTGGGACTGGCATGGCATGTGGTATTTACTTGGTCCCTGTGCTTGCCTATGCAGGCGCTTAGTCCACTGAACTGTTTTACAGGCTGAGCACTGTTTCAGGTAAAATGGGAGGATAGAGGTTAAGTGGGCCAAGGTTATGTGCCAAGGAGTGGTAAGACCAGGAATTCCATCCAGCAGTGATTTTGAAAGTTTTTTTTGTTTAGTACAGGTTCTTACCACACAGGACTACCAAATGCTGGGATTACAGGCACACGCTACCACACCCACTGTCAATCTGTCTCAGCGAGCTTTGGGGCTGGCATGTTGGGATCAAACTCCAGCTGCTGTGCTCTGCCTAAGCAGGTGCTTTAGTCCACTGAGCTATCTGGCCAACCTTAAATCCTAAACATGTCAGATTTATACTTCTAGGAGTGCTTTGTGAGACAAGGTGTCCCTATAGTTCAGGCTGGCCTTAAATTTACTGTGTAGCACGGTCTACAGTGACGCCTTGGCCTTCAGAGTGCTGGGACTACAGATTTGAGGCACCACAACTGGCCTCAGATGGAATTTACAGACACTCCAACTAATGTACTGTGTACTTGGTTAACTAAGAAAATATTAAGGCAGCAGCTTCAAAATTATGCCTAACGAGGCGGCCAGATAGTGGATTAAAGTGTCTGCTTTGGCAGAGGCAGGGACTAGGGTTCAAACCCTGGTGTGGTGGCGTGTGTCCCTAATCCCAGCACTTAGGCTGAAAACAGGATCACTAGAAGTCAGCTCTTTTTAATACTGTTTTCAGTGAAAGTCTAAGCAAAAACCAAACCTGACAGTAACTTCTGAACATCTCTTCCCAACAAGAACTGTTCCCAAGACAAAGCTCTTCACATTAATAACTGGCTGTTGTAGCTGGCAGTTGGTTTTTTCCCTTTAGTGCTGGGCATTGAACCCAGGGTTTAGCCTAGGGAAACACTCCCATTGAACTGTATGAAGTTCCATCACACTGCAAGAAAGGAATTTATATTAAGATTTTAGAGCATTTTTCCTGACAGTTTTGAAAAGTTGAGTAATGCCTAATGTGACACGACAAGATAGTTTGACTTCTTGGGGACCTACAGCCCTTGATATTTGATTTGTATCTTATCTGGGATAGAATTGATATTTTAGCTCTGAACAATAATGCACTTAATAGAAATTAGCCAATAGATGAGTATAAGACATTTTCTCTACCCAATAAAGGATAAATTCTCTACTGAAAAAGAAATGGTCACCCTTTGTCAAGAATACCCTGCCAGGGGCTGGAGAGATGGCTCAGTGGTCTAAAGCACCTACTTGGAACAAGCTTGGCAAAGCACAGGGACCGCGGTTCAATCCGCCAGCACCACATGCCAGCCAGCCCCGCCCCCTGGTGGGCTGAGCTGGCCACACACACACACAATAAATAATAAAAAAAGAATACCCTGCCAGCAAGGTCTTTCTTTCTTGAATACAAATGATGGAGAGCATAGGGAAAAGGATAAATTCAGAGAGCACCACCTAATGGCAAACAAGATCTCTGCAGCAGGGAAGGACACAGGCATACACAGCATCACAAGTTAGACTTAGGTGGGGACTATTTTCAGACAAATAATAGTATCCTGTTTAGCACATTGAGAAAACAGGTATAAAATGTATTTAATGTTTGTAAGTCAAAAGCACTTAAAATCATCAAGGCCTTATTATTTTGTAATACAGCTTTTATTTGTGCCAGTAGAATTTGAGAAAATCACAAGCTTCAGTGCATCTGAAGTTGTCAATGTTTTCAGTTACTAATCTGCACATATCCCACACTTGTAACCCCAGCACTCTGAGGCAGGAGGAGCACCATGAGTTTGAGGCCAACCTGGACTAATTAGAAGGTTCAAGGTCAACTTGAACTGCACAGAAAAAAATTATTTTCAATTACAATTGGGGGGGCTGGGGAGATAGCTCAGTGGAATAAGCGCTTCCCTGGCAAGTGCAAGGACCTGAGTTCAATCCCTGGTTCTGCAAAAAAAAATTACAATTGGGGCCAGGGAGATGGCTCAGTAGAATAAGCACTTGCTTGGCAAGCACAAGGGCCAGAGTTCAATCCCCAGTTGTGCCGAAGGAAATAAAAAACAAAACGTGGGCTGGGGACATGGCTCAGTGGAATATGCGCTTCCCTAGCAAGTGCAAGGGCCTGAGTTCAATCCCCGGTTCTGAAAAAAAAAAAAAAAAAAAAAACCAAATTACAATTGAGAAAAATATTCAGGATGAATGATTACTCTCACAAATAGGCTTAAAATACTGAATCAGAACTTCTACTAGCAATAATGGTTTTGTTTCACTTTGGTTTGCGTTACGGGGGGTGAGCCCAGGGTCACGTGCTTGCACGCTAAGCTGCCCAAGCACACTATCATGGAGCTACAGCCCTGCCTCTTACGAATTCTTTAACCCCACTGCCTCCTCCATCAGGCTCATATCATCTACTTGACCAATAAAGGCCATCAAACTGCTGTTGATGTATAATACCATGATTACCTATGCCATAATCTTTCCCCAAAGACCTGTAGATAATCTTTATTTACTTACATTCAGTCTTCTGTGTTTTTTGAGCTATTACTAAGTTGCCCAGGCTGGATTTGAACTTGCGATCCTCCTGGCTCAGTCTCCTAGGTAGTTACAGTTATAAGCTTGTTTCCTCTTCAACTATATAATATAGAGAGCCTTGTATCTGTTTATGTATAACACTGTTTCCTCTTCAACTAGGAAAGACATACCCTTATGTCTGTTTACGCATAATGCTGAATTTGTGTAATGCGTACGTGTGTGTGTGTGTATGTGTGTGTGTGTGTGGCTGGGGATGGAACCCAGGGCTTTTCATGGCAGGCAATTGATCTAAAACTGAGCTAACATCCCTAAATCTGGTCCAGTTTTTCAAAGTACTGCATTCACATTTTTTAAGTATCTCTTCTGATTCTGGCTGGCAAGAGCCCTAAGAGCAAGCCAGAGAAGGTACTGTTTACACTTTATGTAAGGAGGAAGGAAGGCTCAGTGAGGTTTATGTGCTTTTCTTAAAGTGAAACACAAGGAGTAAGATTTTGTTACTTATTTCAGTGACATTTTCTGCATTGCTATTTGTACTACATTGTGTTGACAGGTGAAATATCACCATAAAGCTTTATCAGTCTTGAGGCTAGATGAACCGCAACCCTCCCTCCATCAACTCTCTACAGAAGCATTATCGTCCATGATTTGATTATCTCTGGCTTATGTGAATAATTCTTGGGTATGAAAAACATGATTAGAAAACATTAAACCACTATATTACTCCAGTAAAGGGCTATCTTTTACAATCTCCAAGTAAAAAAGAACTTCAAAAAAACTCAACCAGTAATTAATAAAAGCCCTAATAGTACCTTATCAAATCAAAATCAGGTACCTTCTGTAAAGTGTGAAAAATATTGCCTGGTTTACTTCCACCTAAAGACTGTGTTTTTTGAGATATCACTAAGTTGCCATCACAATGGTGGTAGATCTGGATCTGATTTTAGCACTGGCAAGGCAAAGAGGGCGAAACTCGAAAGCTCAACTTTCTGGATGGAGTGAATGGTTCAAAGAACCCTTTTCTGCTTCTGAGTCTGTTGGCCAGGAGACCTGGATATGATAGGGCTTCAGCTCCTCAGGAGGGACGGAATCGGGGGCACTGCTCATGAGATCACGTCCGCGGAAGGACTTGGGGAAGGCGATGACATCTCTGATACTTGGAGCTCCAGTGACAAGGCACATCAGTCTGTCTAACCCTGTGAGTAAAACATAAAGGTCACTGATGAGAAATGTATGGCAGTTTCATGTTGCGAATGATTTTAGTTGTCCATTTAAATAAATAAATTAGGAGCAGACTCTCCTCCATGGTACTAGGGATCAAATACGGGGCCTCCCACATGTTAGGCAAGTGGTCTTCTAGCGAGCTGTGTCCACAACCCTGTACAGAACTTCCAAATAAACTTTTACAAGCTCTAGTCAATCATGCTTTCTTATCATTGTAGAGAACTTTCTGTTTCTTTTCTATCTCATTTTAGAAAAGTGCTTAAAACTAAGTTTGTTTTTTATTTTCTTTCTTTTGAAACAGGATCTTGCTATATTCAGGCTGGCTTCAAACCCACAATCCTGGGTTTAATTCCCAGTTCCAATAAAAATATCTCTAGGGGGCCGGGGAGATGGCTCAGTGGAATAAGTGCTTCCCTGGCAAGCGCAAGGACCTGAGTTCAATCCCTGGCTCTGCCCCCCCCCCCAAAAAAAATCTCTGAAATTAAAACAAACTTGAATTATTAAAGAACTTAAGGTTGAACCTCCCCATTCCTACTATAAATAATTGAGAGTTCAAATTTGAGAAACAAGGCTATGGAATGAAATTTAGTTTTATACAAAGACAAATTGTTTACCTAAGGCAATTCCTCCATGAGGGGGCGCCCCATAATCTAAAGCCTGGAGCAGATGGGAGAGCAATGTCACATCTTCCTGAAATTCAAAAGATACCTCTTTAAATACACACTGAACGGACTTAAGTGCCACATGCTAAACATAGCTGCTGAAGGAAAAAGAAAGTTGAGTTGAAAAATATCTTAATACTACTTAACTAACAGCAATAACACACTGGGCAAATGTACAAATATTACCATAAGAGGTCTGCAGTTTACCAAGGAGCAACACCAGTCACGGATGCTCACAGTATGCAGAAAAGTGCCAGGTGCCCAGGAAGTGCAGCTCTCACTGTGCTGAAAATGCAAGCAGAGTAAGACTGGTGCAGGAGGTGGCAGTGTGGGCTAAAAGGATAAGAAACAGGGACTGTCCTGTCTCTGGGACCAAGGGAAAAGTGATAGTAAAAGGACAATAGGGCTAGATGTGGCCAGGAGGTAGGACAGCCTGGGGGCCAAGAACAGCCCTTGGGTTGGCTGACTGGGAAGCAGAATCAAGAGTGAGTGGCCAACAAAGATGTCTAAATCTCGCATTTGGAGCTTTTTATTTAGTTGGTCTGATACGGTATTTTTGTTCTTACTGCTTTTCAAATGACTATTCTGATGGGCCAAGAACCCCTGATACACAGGGAAGAAGAAAAGTAGTGGATTCTTACTCTTCTGAACACCTGGGCAAAGCAAACACCCCACAGGGGGCTAGACCTGATTTCAGGAGGCGCTGCTCTGTGCGAGGAAGGCTGCAGACTTCACAATGCTTCCAAAGCTAAAGTAGGCTCTACGGCTGAGTTTTCCAAGCCTGTTCCCACATGTAACACCCAGGCTACCCAACCCCTGGTAGTTAATGCCACAAAATGTTTTTTAGGACCAGATCTGGACTTGTTTTTAATATATATATATAATGAACTGCAAATTGTGAAGTTTACATCTGAATAGGGCTCTAGAGTCCTGAGTACCCCACTCCCTATCACAGAAAATAACCTTACTTAAAGTACATTAGGGGATACTAAAAATCCTTTTAAAGCTCTCTTTCTTGTACATTATCCATTACTGCAGATGGGGGGCCTGGGTTCAAGAGCACCCTTCAATTCCTGACCTTGCTTCCTTTTGTGCTGTGTGACTTTGGGTAAGCTACATAATCTGCCTCCATTTCTCCTATTTAAATAAACGCAACAATGTCATCTCATAAGGTAGCTATGAAGATTAAGTGCATAAGTGTGTACAGGGTATATAAGCAGTCCCTGCTCCAGGAAGTACTAACAAGCAGCTATTTATATCATTAACCTTTCCAAGTCCTACACTGAAGGTAGAGAGGTAAGCTGACACTTATTTTGTACCTAGCAAATCCTCCACTCATAATAAATGTTTGAAGAAGATGGACAAATACTTAGGTAAAACAGTGGAGCTAGGAGACGATGAAGGTTACCTTTAGTACTGTGGACAGGATGTAACGCTGTAGCTCTGCATCATGGATTCGAATAGAGCCACCTCCTATCTCATGGCCATTTAAAACCAAGTCATAGTGTTGGCTACGAACCTAGAAGAGTTACAGAGTCTATGTTAGTGACTTTTGACTTTAATTCTGCAGGTTAAGATATGGTACTGTGTAACAGATAAAATGTGAACAGCTGGTTCACAATGTCTTTGGAGGCTTTCAGAGCTGGATCCCATCTAGAGACTGTGCACTTTGAGGTTCTTTGTCTCTATTTACATATTCTCTTTGGACTGGGAAGTAGAGAGGGTACCGGGGCCGGGGAGATGGCTCAGTAGGATAAGCGCTTGACTGGCAAACGCAAGGATCTGAGTTCAATCCCCGGTTCCACCAAAAAAAAAAAAAAAGAGAGGGTACCTTTTCAGGCTCAGTGTAAATGAGGTGACCATCACTGGGGTGAGGAGCAGTGAATGGGTGGTGGGCTGATTCCAGCTCTTTGGGGTTGTCCTCCTTGGGAAAGAAGAGTGGGAAATCCACTACCCAAAGGAAGGAGAACTGGGTGGGGTCACGAAGCACCACTCCTCGCCCTTCCAGAAGATCAGCACATTCCAGCCGCAATTTTCCCAACAAAGAGCACTGCCAATAGAAGACAAACACTGAGTTAGCTTCTTAGCAGCAGAAATAACCTGGATTCTGAGGTAGAACACTTCTAGTAAAAGATCTGCCAACTCACAGAGGAGATGCTCTTTGTCTCTCAGGAGACAGATCTGGGGGTGATCTGACTATAATGGGGATCAAAGTGACAGCGAGCAACTAGTAACATAATGACCAAGAACACAGGGATCCCAGCACTTGGGAGGCTGAGGCAGAATCTTGAGTTCGAGGCCAGATGGTGCTACTCAGAAAAGCCACAGATGGGTGTGGTGGTGCGTGCCTGTAATTCCAGCACTTGGGAGGCTGTAAACAGGAGAATCACTACGAGTCCAATCTAGTAGTGAGACCCTCAACAGTCTACAGACCCTTCCCTAAAATATAGGAAAAAAAAAAAAAAAAAAAAAAAGAAAAGCTGCAGATGCCTGAAGATTTGCATACACTGTCAGTTTGAGGCCCATTCTATCTTACACTTAAATATCTACATATGGCACTTTTATTGTGACATTTGCAGAATGTTAATGTTGTTCCCAGTAAGTCTGGCTTCTACCTTGCTTTCTTTCCAGGAAGGCCCAGAAAGAATTAAAACAATACTTCCTGAGAAAAGAACAGCAGGGTATTTAGTTCATACAAAGAGATTGTTTAATAACTAGATTAATTTGCAGCAGGATGTTATATAAAATCCCAACTTTAAGAAATGTGTCAATAACAAAATTTGCTACTAAATATCTTCACTCTACTACTGCAGAAGTAGATTACTTTTAGCTTTGAAGCTGAACTCTGAAACTTCCTTTGGAAGAAACATATTAAAGTATAAATATATATTAGAAGAATTTATCTTTTTTTTTTTTTGGTGGAACCGGGGATTGAACTCAGACCCTTGCGCTTGCTAGGGAAGCACTTATTCTACTGAGCCATCTCCCTGGGCCTAGAAGAATTTAATAAAGTACTAGATACCATGATTTTATTTTTAAAAGTTTAGTATTATTATTATTCCTTTGATTTTTTTTTTTTTTTCCTTTTTGCAGGACTGGGGATTGAACTCAGGCCCTTGCGCTTGCTGGGGAAGCGCTTATGCTACTGAGCTATCTCCCTGGCCCTCCTTTGATTTTTTTTTTAGGCAGAGTCTTGCTATGTAGATCAGGCTGACTTTGAGCTTACTATGAAGTCCAGGGTGGCCTCAAACTCAAGACAATCTCCCTGCCTCAGCCTCCTGAGTGGTGGGATAATCGATGTATGCTACCAGGTCCAGCAATACCATGACTTTATTTTTATTTATTTTTGCGGAACCAGGGATTGAAATCAGGCCCTTGTGCTTGGCAGAGAAGCGATTATTCTACTGAGCCATCTCCCCGGCCCTAATACCATGACTTTAAAAATGTGAATATAAGGGCCGGGAGATGGCTCAGTAGAATAAGCGCTTCCCTGGCAAGTGCAAGGGCCTGAGTTCAATCCCTGGTTCAGTCAAAAGTAGAAAAAAAAGAAAAAAATTAGTATATACAATGAAGGATTGAATTTATATTCTCCCATACATCTGAAGAATGGTGCTGTAGCCAGTGGGTGGTGGCACTCAACACACAGCTGCTATCCTCAAGAACAAAGGGTCCTCCCTCGGCCACGTCAGTCCAAGGGTATCTCTCAGCCCTGAGGCCCTCCAGTGGTCTGAACTGACCCTTTACATCTACAGGAAGTCGTTATGGACAAAAGTTTATGACTACTGAATTTCCTCCATTTGCAAAACCTTAAAAATGAAAATGTTTTATGATTGTATAAGTAAAACCATTAAACCTTCCTCAGTCAGAGCTAATCTGTAACACAATAGAGGCTGGAAGCTGAGAGAAGGATTCCAGGTCTGTGTATGTGTGCTTAAAGTCACTTCGCTGATCTATTTCCCAGAGGCAGGCATAGCACTGGTATGGTTCATGACAGAAAGACAAATTAGGCAGAAGAGAGGGCTACCCAGCCTTGTGTATGTGCCAAGGTTGGCCACCTGACCTCTGTACCCAGCTTCCTCATCACTGCACTGAAGTGGTCGTCATAGGCCTCCAAGTGCTCCAGCTCTTACTGAATGATTTCAGTTTAAAGTTATGGCCAGCAATGCAGCTCAGTGGAGCAGTGCCTTGCCTGGCAAGTCTGAGTTGGATTCTAGTACCCCCCCAAAAAAAGAAAGAAAAAAAGAAAAAGGGATCTTCCACTTTGGGTTGCTCTATGATATACCCTGAATAAGCCAGGCATGGAAGTACATACCTATAATTCCAGTGCTTGGGAGGCTGAAGCAGGAGGATCACTGAGTTCAAGGCTATCTTGGGCTACACTATGAGTTCAAGGCCAGCCTGATCTACACAGCAAGACCCAGTCTCAAAAAACCAACCAATGGGGCCAGGAAGGTGGCTCAGTGGAATAAGCACTTCTCTGGCAAGTGCAAGGGCTTGAGTTCAATCCCTGGTTCCGCAAACAACAACAACAACAACAACAACAACAACAACAACCAAACAAGCTAAATAAATAAAAACATCCCTATAGAATTAGTTCCTTCATAAAGCATTCAAGTCCAACAAAAGTATAGTAGCTACTATTACTGGTAAACATGTAAGGTATCAAATTATGAGTAAAGAAGAGAAAGTCAGTATCAAAAATTCCGGAGGACAGTGTCTTTTCAAGTGTAGGAAGAAATTTTCAATCTAGTAGGCTCATGCAGGGCATGCTAAGATTTTGTTTTCACCATTTTAATAGGTGTTAATTTATTATACTTATCTTTTTTTTTCTTAGTCATACTGGGAATTGAAGCCTTTGCACTAAGCTACATTCCTAACCCTTCATATTTTTTCCTTTTTTTTTAGAGACAGGTTCTTGCTGTGTAGTTCAGGCTGACCTTGAACCCACTTTGCAGCTCAGGCTGATCTCAAACTCATGGCAATCCTCTTGAGTGATGAGGTTACAGGAATATACTGCCACCTACATTTTTTATCTTGAGATAGAGTCTTGCTAAATTGCCCACGTTGGGCTGGATTTTTTTTTTTTTTTTTTTTTTTTGTGGAACTGGGGATTGAACTCAGGCCCTTGAACTTGCCAGGCAAGCACTTATTCCACTGAGCTATCTCCCCGGCCCAGTATTGTTATTTTGGAGTGGGGTTATATGCTTTTATTGTTAAGGAATCCACTTCTATCTTATAAAACTGGAGCTATCATGGTCACAGCTCCTGGCCTCAAATGAAACCCTTAAGTCTATGAGGCCTCCATCCTGCCCCTTCTATGTCTGTCCAGCGCCAAAGCCCACTCTGTAGGAAGGTTTTTCAGAGAAGACAATTACTCTGTCTTCCTAGAAGGAAAAAGCTCCATTTGCTTTATGAGGCCAAGAGCAACCCTAGAGCACAGATGAGCTGGGGCCTGCGCAGGCCTCAAGCAAACTATAGTTTTCATACAGCACGGTACAAAGTCCTGAAAGACATTTACACAACAATCTGTGCAGCAATTCCATTTTGTGAAATCATTTAAAATATGTACATATGCGCGGCGAAGCAAGGCAGCCCTCGCCCCTCGTGCGCACGCATTCAGTGTGATTCTCCTTACGGCTTTCGCGTGCTCGCCTGCAGTCAGTAAGAGCACATCGTCCTCCTGCAGCTCCATCATTCGGGTTAATTCCAATCCATGCTCCTCCTCTATGAACTTGGCAACTGGTGCATTCCAGTTACTGTTGGCTTTCAGGAACACTGGCAAGACTTCCTGTGATAAAGAAAAAGACAGTCACACTTTTAAAGAAGTGAATTTATTTTCTCACAGTACACACATTTCTTGTTTCCAGAAGAGAATTTCCATGAGATTACTTCTGCTCCCTGAAGCCCTTCAAAATGACATGAAAAGAATTTAAAAAGTAATCTTGCCACAGTGAAGAAAAGAACAGAAGAAAGGCTTGGGAGTACCATCAGGAGGCAAGTGATTTCTGCGCATTTCTGGCAGACTGCAGATGCCTGGAGCAGGAGTGACTGAAGGGCACCACTTGGGAGGCTGAGGCGCAGTGAACAGGGGAGGTGGCCTCAGCAGAGGGCACCTGCGCGCCCTGCACAGCCCAGGACTCAGGCGTGCGCTTGGGTCTCTGGGGCAGCAGGCGGCAGCCCGCCATTCACCCCACACTAAGCCCAGCCATTTACAAAGCCCCAGCATCTCCCATTTTCAACCAGCCTCTTTCTCTCTTCTCTCCCTCCTCTGTTGTTTCTCTCTGTCCCTGTCTCCAGTGCTGGGTTTCAAATGCAGGGCTCTGCACATGCCAGGCAAGCATTCTACACCTGAACTACATCGCTAGCTCAAAGTGACTTAAATATGCATAGACATCTAACAATCACTACACAGTAAAGAAAATCTGCAGCAATTTAAAAAATCAAAGGTGAACATAAAAAAGAAACTTAAAGAGATTGCTAAGGGCTAAAAAAAAGAACTTGAATCTTCACAAAGGACTCAAAAAAGGTGGTTTATCAATAAAACAAGAATGAGAGACTAAGAGAAGTGCTATGGGAGCTGGTGCTGTGGTGTACCCCTCCCACCCCAGCTACTCACGAGGCTGAGGTAGGAGGACCGAGTTCAAGCCCAGCTTGGGCAACTTAGACTCTGTCTACAAGGAAAAAATGTTTAAAAAGGGCTGGAGATGCAGCTCAGTGTACAGTGGCTGAGTGTCATGGGTTCAATTCCCAGTACTGCGAAAAAACAAACAAATCAGGAAACAAAAAGTTGCCAATTTTTACTTTTTATCAAGGAGTGACATGAAAGAAACTTAAAAAATACTATTACTATAATTTTATAAAAGAAATACTATTTCCACAGACAAAAAGAGAAAAGATAGCTTTTACACTTTTTTTTTTTTTTGAGACAGTCTTGTTATGTAGTTCAGGTTGGTCTTGAACTTACTACATAGCTCAGCGTGGCCTTGAATATGTGGTGCTCCTCCTGCCTCAGCCTCCCAAGCGCAATTCTTTCAGTTTATGAAAAGCTTTTCATAGTGCCTTATTTTTCTCATTTGAGTTGATGCGCTCTGGGAATCACTGTCATAATCTTTCTTACTGAAAAATCCGTTTATAATTCTCTGAGCTTGAGGTATAAAGCTTGGGATATGGTAGTGACAAAAAAGAGCAGCCCATTTTCAGTATCAAATATAACATTTTTACATGAATATCACAGTATCCTTTTCTTACAAGTCATTACAATATGAACGTTTTTTCCTATATTAATATTCTTAGAAAACAAAATTTTAAAAGGAATTGTAATACTCATTTTTTATTATACCTTAACATTTAATCTGTCCTATATGGTTTCATTCTATTCTTGTTATAAACGATACTATGAGCATAAAGTTTCCCTAATCTAGGGTCCTTAAGCATATCACACAAAGTTTTTTTTTCTGTATTTTAGGGAAGGGGCACAGAAATTTACTGATGCCCATAGCATGAAGCTATTTAAAGTCACTCACCCTAAAGTGGCCAGGTAATGTATTCTTCCAGAGGCAGTGTGGGAATTTCCTCACCCCTGTTCGGCCCAGTTTAATTTTACCATCCCCAGGCTAGAAACATAAAATGTGCCTGTTGATGGCATGGTCACAGTTTTAAAAAGGACACAAAAGGGGCCGGGGAGATGGCTCAGTAGAATAAGCTCTGGCCTGGCAAGCACAAGGGCCTGAGTTCAATCCCCGGTTCCGCAAAAAATAAATAAATAAATAAATAAATAAATAAATAAAAATAAATAAAAAAGACACAAAGACCAAGGACCACTAGGCTTTACTCACCAGGCACGCTGCTGTTAAGCCCTGAGCATGTGGGGCTCTATCTACTTTCCTAATGGCACTAAATACCCTGGTTTCCTTTAAAGGCTAGCACTGAACTTTCATATTTTATTTTTATTTTTTTGTGCAACTGGGGGTTGAACTCAGCCCTCTGAGCTTGCCAGGCCAGCGCTTCTTCTACTGAGCTATCTCCCCAGCGCTTCATATTTTAATAACAGAGCATTCATCTAATCTTAAGTCTTAGAATCATACTGTACCAAGGGGCAAGATTAACTTTTTTTTTGTTTTTCTTTTTGAGACAGGGTCTTGCTATGCAGTTCAGGCTGGCCTTGAGCTTACTTTGTAGCCCAGGTGGGCCCTGAACTCACAGCGCTCATCCTGCCTCAGCCTCTCCGAAGTGCTGGGATTACAGGTGTGTGCCACTATGCCCAGCTGAAAATTAACTTTAATAATAAACAGAAGAAAACAAAAGAGTGATCTCAAGTAAGAGGACTTTCAACATTAAGAGCTCAAGCAATAATAATTAGTTAAAAATATATAATCGCCAAAAGGAAACAAATCTGCTTTTACTCCTTACCTGATTAAAATGGTCAGTTGCACATTTTCTAATGGACTTAATATCTTTCCTTTTCAAGTACTTCTGATGAAAGAAAATCAAAGTAAACTCATCAATAGGATACTCAGCTTCATAAAAATGTTCATGATAACAACTGGGACACAAACACATTTTATGTCTTTCATCAGTATGATAGGATTTATTTATTTTTTATTTTATTTATGTGTGTGTGTGTGTGTGTGTGTGTGTGTGTGTGTG